TGGGGCGGGGGTATCATCCCTCCCAGCGCTCCCTGGCCAGAGTCTGTGGCACCTACGTCAAAGTCTGCAGGTGGCAGCCAGGAGATGCTGATGGTCTTGGTCTGGCCACGCTCCACGAAGCCTCTGGAGGGCTCAATGGTGAAGCCCTTGTGCTGCAGAGATGCGGCGCCGTCCAGGCTGAACTCGACGGTCTGCAGGGCACTGGTGTTACAGGTAGGCCGGCAGGCCGGGCACAGCGCCCAGGAAGCAGTGTGACAGGGGTCGAGGATGCCCGACTCCACCTGCCCTCTCAGCCCTGACCGGCAGGCTGCCCACCCACATCCACCAAGGGGCAAGGCCAGGAGGGACCAGGCTACCCAGGGCAGGGGACGCTGCAGAGGGGCCGGGTGGACCTGGTCACCTTCTTTGGAGACAGCCGGGTGGTCCGGATGCAGCCCACCTGCAGCTCTCGGGTGGCAGGAGGGGCTGGCATGTCTGTGTCTAGCTGGACGTAATCTAGGGTCACCAGGATGGGCTTCAGCTCCTCGGCTTCTGGAGAGAGAGGACCCGGCTGGGGGCCAGTGTGTGGGAGGCTGTGCCACCCGGGGCGTGAGGGAGGTGCCTAGGGGTTAGCTGGTCCTCGGGAAATCGCCCTCCGGGGGATGGGCCAGAATGCCCACCCCACCCTTCAGGCTTCCTAGGGCTAAGGGTGCAGGCGGGCAGCTCCTCCAACTGTCCTCACACCCCACGAGGGGGCTCCCACACCTCAGAAAACACACCTTCTCTGTGCTCAGGGTCAGAGGTGGGGATCACGGTCAGGGACTCCACAGGCACGTCCAGGGGGTCTCCACCCTCTACGAACATCATGTGCTCACGGGCCGCGCCCTTCAGAAGAATCTGGTGGGAGAGTTTCTGCGGACAAGGACCATAGATAGCAGTCTCGTTCCAAGTCCCCGTGACAGGGGGGGCTCCAGGAGGAAGGGGGCCCGTGGAACCGGGGACAGTGGGCTCTCCACTTGACGACACCCAGCCCGGCGTGGAGCCCTCAGGCACGGGCCAGGGTCTCCAAAGGGGGGCAGGCAGGGAAGGCCGGAAGGGCCCCGGACACGCGGGAAGGGGGGGGTCGAGCCGAGGCTCGTGGAGCCGCACCTTTCCGAAGAGCACCACCTGCAGCCTGTCGGAGAAGTAACGGCTCTCGTGGTCCGGGCTAAAGGTCACGGTAAAGTCCTGCGTCTTGCCGGGGTCTATGACGCCCTCGACGGGGATCACGCTGAACACGCTCTGGCCGCTGTGGTTTTGGGTGCCTGCGCGAAGGTCGGCAACGTGCGGGTGCCTTGCTCCGCCTGCAGCGCCCCTCCCCAGCCCGACGCTCTGGCCCCCAACCAATCCACTGCCCGCAGCGCCCCCCCACCCGC